GATATTTATAATATTATCTATTATTATTTAGCCGAAAATTATACTTTTATTATGCATATATATTATACAAATTTATATAAACAATATAAGCTATATAAGTGATATAAAATATTTATATAAGCAAATTATAAAATTTTCCTTCGAATATGTCCTTTATTCATTTCCGTTTCCCTCATTGATACTAACATTAGAATAAATCATTAGTTGATAATCATCACCATATGATCGAGAGATTGACCATTTCGGAGCTTCTTCAGGTAGTTTAGAATTGTCATACTATTTGTTATCTTCATACCAACGATGTCATAAAATTTTTACATAGCTTATTTTCTCGCTAGCATTATCAGATAGACAAAGTAAATCACAAGCCTATTAAATAAAAAAAAAGCAATCAGAATCGATGAATTACGCAAAATAAATAACCAATTACTTACATGACGTGATCTCTATAGTTTATCATAAATATAAAGAACATGTTTATCTATTGTTTTATTTTTCAGTCAGATATTCATATCAACTTCTTTTAATGCGAGTTCATTATCACTCTCAGATACTTTATTACTATGGAATTCACCTTCATTCATCAATAATTCACAATCATTCTTGAATTTGTCCTAAGATAAAGAGAATGATTTGAGATCGATTAGTAAACTATCTTTAACATTGAATATATGAGATAATCCTTTCTAGCATCGCTCTTTCTTTTATATAGATTAAATAAATGTGATGATAAAATTCTTAACTCGATAGAATAGTTTACAAAAGTATTTACATCACCTCTATGAGAATTGGTTCCTTTTCTTTTCTTTTCTGACTTAGCTTTTTCTGAATCAAGACTAACCTTTCAGTTTTCATGACGGTGATGATATAACTGTTGCAAAACCCACTTCAGCTCCATATCTTTGTATTGAAATCTTCTCTTCATATCTTTATCAATCTTCTTTATTATATATTTTGCAATATATCAGGTGATATCCGTCTATCTTTTGGTATGATCCAGTTGTAATGCATCATCAAGACTGCTAAGAATCTGCATTACTTCATCCTTATTTAAAAAAAATGCAATGATTAAAAAATAGTAATTATAGTAAAAAATAATAACCTACATGAAAACTCTTATATTGCTCTTCATTCATATTTTTAAGAACATTTTGAGCATGATGATAGCCAGTTTCTGATGTCAAAATTATCGATATTCTTCTTCAATTATATTGAGTTGATCAAAATAACTCATTTGGTTCTGATTGAGAGGCTGTCTTGATGTTTCGAACCTCTTCTATAAGTATATTGATGGCTTTATTTAGGGCCTTGAACACTTTAAATTAATATCATTAATAGTAAAAATATATTCTTTAAAAAAATATTAACTAAACCATACTATTATCATATTCTCTTGGCGAATGGCTATTACCAAATCTTCTCGAATCCATAATGGTTGATGAATGATCATTATTATGACCTCTTAGATTCTTGATGGATGACAAGCAGCCTCTTAAATCTCGAACAAATGGTAAACGATGTTAGTGATAATCCGTTTGCACAACTAAATGACTGCGCCAACTAGCATCACCAATGATCACCAGGAAAATCGTGATCACCATTTTCACTGATTTCACTGCTATCACGGTTATCGTTGTGATATT